AAACCTTACGCACGGACATTATTTATGAAACTGAACAGTACTACACTGTTTAAAAATTAATGGTACTACACTATTTATAAAACTGAATGCTACTATACTATTTATGAAACCGACCGTTGCTATATTATTTATGAAACTGAAGGATACTATACTATTTATGAAATTGAATAGTAGTACACTATTTATTGGTCCAGATTTATAAATAGTTCTTAATTCTTGGTTGACTTTCATAAATAGTGTCTAGTTATTGGGTCATGTTTCATAAATAGTTTATTGTAATTAGTACAGTTTTATAAATTGTATCTCATTCTTGATCTAGTTTCATAAATAGTTTAGTAAGGAGCAACAAATTAGCCAATAATCGTGAGGGAAAACTAAAATTTTGAAGTTAAATTGGGGTTTTAGTGATTAAATTTAAACTACATCTCTCCCCAAACACATTAATCTCCAAGACATCAAACGATATGAATTACAAAAAGCAGGAATAAAATGAGTTATATCACATTAAGGAGCAACAGATAAGCCAATAATCGTGCAAATGGTTCACTGCAAGTGCAGCCTCATGAGATTTAGTTGTGTAGATTCACAGTTCAATGCCAATGGTTCTTCCTTGCTTGAAGAAATAGATAGATTACTTCCAAATATGAATGCACACATATATGTATATAGATTTGGGATTATAGAATATAAATTTGCTGATATGTTCACTAATTATTATTTGGTGTATGGGATGTGTACTTTGACTCTCTCTGCATATCTCCTCCATTGAAGCCTCCAGAATGTGTGGATTCGGTATGTCCTTCCACTTCTCCAGCAGAGTATGGAGTGTTCTTCTTTGGACTCTATCTAATTGCTATGGGGACTGGTGGCCTCAAGGCATGTGTTTCGTCCTTTCGGGCGGACCAATTTGATGATACAGATAAAATGGAAAGAGTAAAGAAGGGATCATTCTTCAACTTGTTTTACTTTTCTATCAATATCAAGTTCTCTGAAAGTCTGGGTTTAAGATAGTGATGGGTGGGGTTCATAACCACTTGTTTTTCACATGCTTTTGATTGGATTTTTCTTTTGTGATTTTTTTTTCCTCATGTCCTTAACATTAAATAAAATTATAGGATGATTTTGGGTTAAAATGTAAAGTTTTAAAGTCATTTTCATTAGTTTTCCTTTTAAAAGTATCAAACACATTAAAAATTTATAATAATTAATTTACAAATACAAAAAATATGAAAAAAAAGGCAAACGCTCACGATCGCATCCTCTACGTTTTGAGGAAGGATACACTGCCGTCTAAATTTTTAGAACCATACAAACTCTCATGAATTGTATTTTCAAGGGAGTTGAAAATAAATAAAATTCATAATCATTAATGTACAAGTCTGAAAAATATAAAAGCATATATAAACATTTGTGATTGCATCCTCAACCTTGAAACACAACTCCCTTCATTTTGCACATCTTGAACATTGGTATTTTATGGTAATGTACTAATGTTTTTTTCATTAGACTCTTATTTTGGATATGTAATACTTGAAAGACAAATGTTTTTTTTTTTTTATGTTTTGAATTAATAATACTAGGATTAATCTTAGTTTTTAACCCTCAAGTTTCATGATTTTTATTCAGTACATGAAGTTTTTTTTTTTCCTAAAGTCATTCCTCAAGTCTTAATTTTGAAACAATCTCATATATCAGTTAAGTTGGCTGTTAAGTCAGCTAACTGGTGATGCAGCTCTTATATGTAGGGATGGGTTCGGTACGGTTACCGTACCAAAACCCTTGTACCAATTACCGTACCAAACTTTCGGTTTAGTAAAATCTATTACCATTACCGTACCAAACTTTCGGTATACCGAAGTTCGGTATTGCCAAAAGTTCGGTTGGCATGGTATGGCAATGGTAATTGCCATTTTGTTTTGGGACAAAATCTGTTTTTGTTTTTTTAACCCAATTCAAGGGCAAAACTTTTTTTTTGTACCTTTATCTCATACATTGTAGATTAAATTAATCTATTATTCATTATTCACAATTCACACACATAATAATTCAATGATGCATCAAGATTCAATATGAAAATTAAGCTTACAATTCAAATAGAAGTTACGAACCAAAACAAATAGAAGTTAACAATCCAAATAGAAAGTTTCAAACCAAATGAAAATTAGAAGTAAAATTCAAAAAGGAGAATTCATTGATCAGTTATTCAAGCTTGAGATGTCGAAACTTTTGGAAGAGGCATTGAATTTGTAGAAGATTGAGTTTGTGTCAAGCGTACATTACAAACAAAGAAAACATATTAATTAGTAGCAAGAAAAATTAAAGTTGAAAACCATTTAATAACAAATTTACTAAAAAAATTAAAGCATATCTTTCTTGTTTTTTCTTCTTCTATTTCCTTGTAAAATTGAAGCATATATTCCGTTGGTTCCTTGTAGAAGTTTACTTCATCTGCCCTAAGTCAACCACTAGTATGCACTAGTGCCTCCATTATTTTAGGAGTCAAGGATACCCTAAAAGGGTCCACAACCCTTCTCCCTAGGCTAAATGCATTTTCACTAGCAACAGTAGAAGTGGGGGTTACAAAGATATTTTGGCTATTTTGGCTATTTTGTGAAAGAATTAGGAACTCTTTTGTGTTTGATTTCCACAATTTTAAGATATCAAAGTCACCAACAACAATACTAATATAAGTAGGGTTTTATTTTCAAATTATTGGAATATTATAAATATGTGTTATATAATTATCTATTATATAATTTATAAATTATAAATTATATTGTATTTTTGGTATGGTACGGTAATACCGTGGTAATGATATCCATTACCAATACCGTACCATGAAATTTCGGTACGGTACAATACCGTACCATTACCGATTGGTACAAAAAATTTGGCACAAAATCGGTATGGCACGGTTGGCAATTCGGTTGGTACGGCAATTTGGCAAAAAAATTCACCCCTACTTATATGGACAATGACTGGCCCCCATGTGTCATTAAATGACCACATGAAACTTAAAGTAAATAATTTTTTTTAAAAATTTTAAAAATTTAAAAAGTAAAAAAACTAATAAAAGCAGTGCTTAGCCTAGATCCACCTCAGACCCCAAAGATACCAAATCCCAAGTTCCTTCCAAACCCTCGCCGCCGAGTCTCTTCCCCTCACTTGGCTTGCCTACTTCGTGGCCACCATCATATCCTGGACAACATATCCTAGACCCATTGCCATAGCAGCGTTGTTGTCATTCTTGGCCTTTTCTTTGCCCTCCCGTCTCTTCTTCTTTCCCTTCTTTCTTTTTCCTTTTGATTTTCCTTTTCCGTTTCCATTTTCTTTCATCTCGAAAGAGACCCCAATTTTTCTAGGTTCACAAAAGAAACCCAATAATAGTTGATTTGAATTTTTTTTATTTTTTTTTCTTTTAACTTTATAGTTTTCTGGAAAATTGGGAGGATTTGGGTCTCCTCCACCTGCTTCGCGTTTGCATTTTCTGGGTTTTTCTTCTAGGTTCACAAAGAGAAGATCCATACTTGAAAATACCAAATTCTTGAACCAATTCCAACCAAAACCTTTTTGGATCAAAACCTAGAAGATTTGTACCTTTAGAATTTGAAAAATATAACCCCAAATTGCTGAACCCACTCTCCAAATTGCCCGAATAATCAAGGAGGAGTACCTGAATTCGCAAAGGTTCTACAAACGGCTTGGATTCTTCTCACTTCAACTTTTGTGAATCTTTGGCTGTGCGAGGAAGAGAACGAAAAACAAAACAAAAAAGGAAAAACAAGAATCCTGTAGGAAGAAAAAACATAAAAAGCATTGGTTTAGGTTTAGATTTATCTTTTAATTTTTAATTTTTTTAATTTCCACGTGGGCCTTTAATGACACCTGACGCCTAATCATGAGTCACGTCATTAATTAACGGTTGATTTAACAACCAATATAACAGATGTAAGAAACTGTTCCAAAATTAAGATTTAAGGTATGATTCTGGGATAAAAAAAAATTTATGTACTAAATGTTGAAAACTACGGAACTTGAGGGTAGTAAACTGAGATTAATCCTAAATATATGTGACAATGTGGAAAACATTATACTAAATTAGTATTATGTTTTCCATTTTTTGGGGTCAACTTATTTTCATTTTCATTATTTATTTTTAAAAAATATATTTTCTTTAATAAGTCGGGTCATATTATCTGATAATATTAACGGGTCGATTTTAAATCGGATTATATTACCTGTTTTCATTAACTGATGTTACACGACACGATCCATTAAGATATTGGGTACATCACAAAGACGACATGAACAAAAAACACAGCACAAATGCCAGGTCTATCTACTGCTACTTTTTTTCTCTTACCTCTCTAAGGGGGAAAATTTTTTACTAGACGACACTATGAATCGATCATTAGTTAGGTATTGAATTTAACACAAATATAATACTTAATTTTTATCAAATGAAGATGAAATATCACTTAAATCGTAATACTAATTAATCTCTCTTAAACATTCGAGCATGAATGAATTGAATTTATGCCCTATATTACGGAAAGATGAAAAAGTTCAAAAAAATTTGCACTAAGTTATGGAAAATCACCCCTTTAATCTCGTACTAAGCAATATTGCCAACTACAGGATTTGGTTCCGCTTTTTCAAATGCTACGGGGCATTTTTTTTTAGAAAAACTAATAAAAAGAACTTGAAAACTTTGAGTTTTAATGATAAAGACAAAATAAAGGGTAAAGTGAATAGTACCAGGATTGACTTTTTAGTATAAAAATGTGGTTTTTTTTTTAAGTGAACAGTACCGGATGCTTTTTATTAAAGTTCCCTTTTTTTTTTAAGATAAAGTGTCACTAAAACAATAACTAGTCGATACTAGTTTCTATCATTAACTATAAACTGATTCTCTAGAGGGCACAGTTTCAGAATACTGTTATGCAAAGGCACTTCAGACTTGTAATTTTTATTGCCTGCAAATGGAAGGAAAAAGGAAAAACATAAAACCACAAGATAACATAAGCAATAAAAATGTTTTAACACAAGATAGCATTCAGTCATTCCCCCAAACAAAAATGCGAGAAAGTCACCGCGTACTATCCTTACGGCTTGAAAACATCAATCCTATACATGTTAGTTACTTTGAGATTATCCTAATCTTGATTTCTTACACTGAAAAAAGAAAGGCAGTACCATTTCACATATTCTCGTACAAAAATTTACAAATATAACTGAACAGGAAGAAATGGCTACGGGACGATCAACCGTTTTTGGATCAAAGTGAATGAGACTCAGAAGTCTATAGGAAAAATACTTGACTCACCAAATGCAGAGGCAGGCAGTCTTTCTCAATATCATGTTATTTTGCTAAACAGTAAACAAGCCCTCTTCATCTATAATAGGCCGAGCGCTTTCAGCTGCTGAATATGCTCAGGTGGGAGAGGAGGGGCAGACCAATCAGATCCTGTCATCTCACCATCAACATCCTCGACAACATATTCCTACACGAGTAAACAAACTTTTTCCAATAAAGATCCGGTAGACAATATCCAGTATCATTACTGCATACAGAAATGATAAATTGTTTATTTAGTTTATAGTAAAGAAAAATCTGTTTAAGCCATTACGGATTTAAGTGGACCCACTAATTCACCATCAAAACAACTCATAGATCAAGCTAAGCAGATGACATAAAAGCTTCCAGAGCTAAACATGCCTTGTTCCATAAATGGACCAAGAGGACATGATCGACATCTCATAATCTAATGGAACTTGGAAGCGCATCTTAAAATTTATAAGCAAAATAAGTGCTTGACTAAACAATAAAACTTTTGACAGGTCTATAATAATAAAATTATGTCCTAAACCATAGTGCTTTAGCAACATTTGATTTAAACTGAGGTTTAATTGCAACATGTGCGGGTAGATGCAAAGTTAGATCATGTTTAGCTAAGAGATTATAGTTTTAACTACACTACTTCTCATTGATGACATGGGTTACCATGCGATAATATTTAGCCTGCTACAGATGTCCCTCTACCGAACTCACTACAATTTGGCGGCCTTAGTAGTTAAGAAAAACAATTCAAGAAAAATTCAAGAACGACGTTCAGTCATTGATCTTTACTTCTTGGTTTAGTGCATGATGAAATGCTAATCTGTAATCAGTGTCTACACCGTATATGAACATGACCTGAAAAACCAAATATAAAAGTAAGGTCCCTAACTCACTTTTGTCAGCATCCTTTTTGCAAGTATATGATAATGCCGCTGCCAAATCCGTTGTCCAACCATTGTAGCTACCAGGACACTGTAGAATATCCCAATCACGGTAAAAAGTCCCAGTACAATCAGAGCCATTATAAATAATATTGGTAGCCCTGCTTCACCAGCGCCTCCCAAGCAACCACATTCACCTGCCATACTTGCACAGCTTCCCCAGCATGTAGTACAGTCAGTCCACATACAAAGTGTTCCAGGTAAATGACAGTCTGCGCACACACTGCAATGATCGTTCAAAATTAAGCTTCCTCATCCAAAAATTGATTTCAATGAATAAACACTAGATTGTCATGTGAACTAATGCATCATAAGGACAACATATCATATTACGCAGATAAAAGGAGTGGACAGATGTAACACAATAAGGCCTCATTTGTTAAGAGAGGATTGGCTTGGATAGGACTATTTACTATATTGAAGGCATTTTAAAGGAAGAAATGGATGACAATTTTCATATTTTGTCCAAGTTGAAAGTTACTCATGAAGGAAAGATATCCCTACTAATCTCCACCAAGATGGTAGAATTAAAAGGACAACTTTTCTTCACGAGTAATCTTCATCTTGGACAAAATAAGGAAGTTTTCATCCTTTTTTCCATTCAAAATGCCTTTACAAAATGCCTTTGATATAGTAAAGGCATTTTGATTAGTCCTACCTAAGCCAATCCTCTCTAACAAACGAGGTCTAAGTGTCTGGGTTGTGATATATTAGAGTATCCAACTATTCATGCAGTAAACCAAAAGGAGCAAACAAAAGAAAATTGAGTTGATGCCATCAGGTATTGAGTCAAATTTTCAAACATTGTTGGAATTGTAGAAAATGCATATAGATGATAGATAATTACAAGTACAAAGTTTGGTAATATGAATGAAATCTATCTGCAGTAAATAGAAAGTCAACAAAAAGTCGTGGTACAAGATATTAAGTAAAAAAAATTATAAATAAATAAATAAATAAAAAACATATTAGTAAAGTGTAATATATGCAAGGAAAATACATTTCCTCATTTGCCAAAGAAGCAATTAAAATGAAAAGGGACAAAGGAATAGCAATTCGACAATCCAGTATATGCATGCATGGAATCAAATGTCAAAATTTTCAAATCTTTATACTATTATTAAGAGAATCCTCCATATCAACCAATGAGGGTGAAAAAAAAATGCCCTTAAATTATTTTAATTTGAATAAAATAAATTTAACATGTTCAAGGGAGAAGGATGATTGTCACGAACAATACAGAGCACACCTGTAAAATCTAAGAGTTGCTGTGGTTTTAACTTTTAACTTGGTTTCATTATCCATGCATCGATATCTTACAAACACAAATTCTTCAGGGTAAATACAAAAGGGAATTGTTATTGACACTCTAAAAATCCAATTGTGTACTCCAAACTTACCATATTAGAAAGGAAAATACTGTTATGAGGAGTTCACAATTAGATTTTTGGAGTGCTAATAATAATTCCCATACAAAATCTTAACACATTTAAGAGGTGTAATATGACCACGTAAACAGCCTGTAGAATTAAATCACGTGTGCCAACTGGGTTAAAGATTTCCAAGTGTAGACTTATACCCAGGCTGACAGCAACAAAGGCATAATTCACGACATGGCTGAGCCAAATCATTGCGCACTCTACGGTCATAACAAGTAATGAAGCAGCCAGACAACCCAAGCAAAGCGAAAAACAACAAAGCTCCTGTAGTCAACAATAAGTATGTAAAATTACCAAAACCAAAAAAGAGAAGATTAACCCAGAGAACAAAGAAGCAATCATGTATTATGCTAAATCTACATTTCAATAGTTGAATCAGATGATTACTAATTCCCAAGCTAAAGAACTGAAAAGTTATAAAAAAAAAAAGAGTTGCAGCAAAGATTTCATCGTGGTCAAAAGAAACATAACACTATCTTGCTATTTTTTTTCTTTTTAATTTCCAGAACCTTAAGAGAAAGATCTCCAACAGAAACCACCTAAAACATGTACTCCTTTTGGTCAAAGGTAGCAATGAGACTCCATCCAAACCAGCTTCCATAGGTCACGATTCCTACACAAACTTCCATGGGACACAATTTATAAACCCTAAACCCTCAAAAGTTTCCCCAAAAACCAGAGAACCAGAGTAAAATGTACAAATACTAAGTATAAAACAATGGTAGTGTTGTGAGAGATAACTATGTTTCATGTGAGAAAAAAGATTTATCCGAGAACACAATTTAACTATCTTGAAATTTTTGTTATTCTGTGTAATAAAGATTGAGATACCATAACAAAATGCTAATGTCATTATTTAACAGCAGTGTTCAGCCGATTATTTATCAAGTCTGTAACCCAGTAACACACCACTAAATCTATTACCCCTTCAGTTTGTATCTTCCTCCCGTGAAGGTCTTGGAGACCCCCTCACTTTCTGTATTTCTTTTAGCCCTTTCTTATTGGGATAAAACTTCTCTGGTTTAAACAATGCTACAGAAAATATCACTAGACTACATTTGCAGATCTTCATTATATATTTCCTGAACTTTAAACAACAAATTGATCTGTAAAATTCAGAATGGCTACAAACACAACATTAATTTGTAAACAGATTCCCCATAAGATCATGAGTTTTCAGAAACCATTTTATCAGCAAACATGAAAGTGAAGTGAAACGAATCCATGTGCTTTCATCTGGGAACAAAAGTATTCACTGTTGTCACACCTAAATGTCAATCTTTCAGTCAGCAACTGTTCAACAGATGGAGACAAAAATAAAGTTGATCACGCATTTACTAATGATAGATAAGGATAGATAAGGCCACAGTTTCTTATACAATTGTAAGTGCTAGTGCCTAATCAAGTACATGTCCATGACAAATAAGGATAGAGTATACAAAACTGAAGAAAAAAAAAGAAGTGATATTCTCATTCCAGTCCATATGTCTACTCAATCACATGTTTACTAATGATTTTACCATGTAATTTCAATTCATCTGCATAAAGACGTGACAATAAATGATGATGTTTCTGAATTGCAACATCAGTGTATCAGTGCAATTAATTCAAATCTAAAGTAATCTTAGAAGATCTTCGTCTTCTTTTTTCTGAACAATCTGATGAACATATTCATCTAAAAAATCTTGATCACCAAGACACAGAAATAAGTCGGTTAACAAACAGAGAGAATTCAGGCCAAGGTGCCATAATAATTTTGTATGACCCAAAATCAGAATCGCATACACTATAACAACATTTATCACTAATTATTTCTCTAGCATAAACATTTACATTATAACTTGAGACTTTACCGCATATATAGTAGAAACTAAGCTTGCTGTCAAAACCCCATGCAAGATGAAGCCAGAATTGCTGGAAACCATCTATTGAATAAGCCAAATAGGCCAATGAAGTAATCACCTGTACAATGAAAAAAAATAATCAATGTTTAGATATGCAAATCATATGCAAACTATCAAAGCAAAAGAAAGCAACTAAAAGAAAAAACCAATGACCTACAAGCTGAACGGCCAGAAATATAAATATAATGTCCCTCGTCACAAAGAATCGGAATTTCAAGGTTCGCCATTTTCTGTCAGCAACAACATGAACTCTCAAGTGATAAGGAGCCTTGCAGGTTGTACAATGAGCAAATGCAAACCCTTCCTGAAAAAGTTAGATATGATAATCAGATATCATTTGGAGAAACCTAACAAAAAGCCCAACACCAACATGTGGACAGACGTTGCTAATTCGTCTTAGATAAATCATACGCATTATGCAAAGACCAATTAAAGCCCATTTCCAAGGTCTTCAAATGTGGTCTTACTGCAACAGTCTAAAACTGACTGAAGTAGTCATCAAGGAAAAAAAAATTAATTGTCTACTCATGCAAAGCACACTGCGATCAATATCTTCTTAACAAACAACTGGCAAGTGGCAACAAATCATGACACAGCAAGCCTAACAAGATCTCGAATCCATTTCAGCATGCCAGACAGCCAGAGACATTAGGGTTGACGGGAACTTCACTTCAATAGAATTCGTTTCATACCTGACTACAACAAGCACATTTTGATGCCCATACACGACACAACAATCTAGATTCTAGTTTATGACCTTTGCTTGTCATTGGATTTGCATTCTGTTATTTTTTAAACATCTGAAAGTAAATCATAAAACAGAACTCATACAGTTTGATAAGAATGATCGACAACAAGTAATTAATTACGATAGAGTAAACCGATGGGAATCATGGGATCACTATGCTTGCATTTGCATGGAAAACCACAACATGGTGTTATATGCACTGAATTTGAAAAGAGAAAACCAAAAGCAAAAAAATAGAGATGGCAACAAAACCTTTATAGCTCTCCAATGATCCAAACACTCCCGGTGGACATACTTGGAAGTCCCCTTGCACTTGCACGGAGCAATGAAGTCCCTGCCTGAGGGGAAAAAAATCCCACTATAAGCTTCTAATACCAAACTCTAAGCATTTAAAAGGAACCCACAAAAAGAATCATAATTTTACACAAAAATTCGAAATACAGTTGAACTTATTAAAAAAAAAATTAGAATTGTGCAACATTTCCAATTGCAAGACACGCTGATTAGGCTGGTTGACTTGAAAACCAAAAATTAGAACTTGGCAAAAACCAATTCTATAGAAAATCAAATCAATTGGGTGCGAATAAGTGAAGTGGAAGAGAAATACCATCACTTTCAAGGCAAATACGGCACTGGATTTGTTCGCCAGGGCCAGCCTCGAGGTCGATCTCGCTAGGCTCGGTGATCTGCTTCGGAGGGATGAGAGGCGAAGCGTCTGAGTGATCGGCCATCGAATTAATTTAGAGAAATGGGTCTCTTTAGTTTCGAAAATGTGAGTATTGCATTGAGCCAGGCCCTAATTGATTTCCCCAATTTCTCCTTCTGCCGCTTCCTCGCTCTACATCTGTTGATTATTGAATGGTCTTATTGAGACAAGAGATTTTTCAATATTATCGCAATAGCTGGGTCTATGTTAGGAAAGTTATTTATTCTAGTGTAGCTTTAGCGGTATAATGACACATGTATGTATTCGTGTTTTAGTCCACTCAACAAAATTTTGTTACGACAGTTGGATGAGACAAAAGAGCATAAGCAAAATTTGACTCTCGTTTGGATGCAATTCCTATTTGCTTCTTTTTCATTTTTTTAGGTTCCATCTCCGTGCTACGTTAGATTATTATTAGGGTGCTTCAATCCGTGATAATGCACTGAGGGTGCGTTTGTTTGATCTCACTAGCATTCACTAGACTGGATTGGATTAAGTGGGACTGCAGTGCTGTGTTTGTTCCACGCCGGGACAAGCTTTAATGAGACTCGCCCCGACTAACCAAGACTAACGGCTTCACTAAAGGGTCTTCACGAGACCCCTCGAAATTGGCCGGATTGCTAAGACCAACTCCTTGCTTCGCCCATCTCCTCTTCCTACTTGTTCCTTGCAAAATTCGAAACCCAGATCCCATTTACCAACTCTGCTCTGCTTCGCCCCTCATATACCATTTTCAAACCTAAATCCCTCAAAATTCGAAAACAAAAAAGGAAAAAAAAATTATGCACTCTTTCCATTCTCAAAACCAGATCCAAACCCAAAATTTGATACAAAAAAAAAACAAAACAAAAACAAAAACAAAATCGTTGTGCGTATGAAACGCACAGCAATCGTCCATTCACACATGCACAAGAGCCATTCTAATTACACATGCACTCCAGACTGCCTAATCGCAGACCATCGTCGTTGACGCCGGAGAAGTAGAACGACGAGTACCCATATGACTCAAACTTTGATATGGGTTTGATTTGCCAATTGCGTCTTAGAAAAATTAGAAAAAGAAACAAGGGAGATGAACAGAGAAAAATAGGAAGAAAAAGGTGGAGATGAAAGCGGAGAGGGACAAAGAAAAAGAGGGATTAGGACGGAGAAACAGAGGGAGTGGGGAGGAAAAAGAGGGAGAGGACGGAGCAAAGAAATAGGAAATAGGAAATAGGAAGCACTACAGACAGAGGTTTCTAGAGAGGAAAAATATAGTCAAAAGTAGGAATAAAATAATAATAAATCTGAATTAATAATATAAAATAATAATTATTAGTGAATTAAATAATTTAATATTAGAATTTGTTATTATTTTTAGTTTTTAGTCCGACACTACACCAAACGCTTCACTAAGTTAGTCTAACTTAGTCTAACTTAGTTTAGTCTAAGCCAGTCCAGCTTAGTCCCCAAAGCTAATCCAGTCCGAGATAGTCCGACGCAACAAACGCACCCTGAAATTGTTGAGAAATGGGGAGAAAATTTTGATTCTTTCTTTTACTACCATGCTCACCTACCCAAACACAATTCTTTATTTACAATAATGCTCACCCACAGACCTAAAAATGAGGTCATGTTACGACCATTTTAATTTAGACACTTAGATTAATCTAAATATAGATAGAGTTATAAGCTTAAATCTTTGAGAGTAAATTTTACAAAACTACTTTAGCTATAGGTCGAATTACAATCTCATACCTCATATTTAAAATATTGCAATTTCATACCTCAACATATGAATTCGTTGCAATATCAGACCTCCGTTAAAACTTTTATCAATTTAGCTGTTAAATGATAACGTGACAAAAGTGAAATCCACTCCTTTGCCAACTCGGCTAAAAATTTATTTAATTATTAATTTTTTATTTAACAATTAAAATTAATTCGAAAAACTCTCTCCTTCCTTCCCAAAACGCCAGTCCCCCTCCTCCTCTCACCTCGCTTCTCTCTCTCCTTTCTCCCCAGAACACTAGTGTCGTTTCAGGGTACCAATTTCCCGAATCGAATCGTTAATTTCAACCAACGATACACCATGGCTAGCAGTGTTGGAGTCCCAGAGAGTGGCTCTGGAGTCGTTGACGAGGCGAAGGGTGCCAGATTGGAGGAATTGGAGAGTTCCACCGGAGTAGTAGACGGCGGCGATGTAACAAGGGGTGAAGTGAGTCAGTCTTTCTCTTTCTTTCTCTCCCTCTTCTATGCGTATTCTGAAAGATTTCAGACCCCTGCGTTTTCTGTTTCAATTTCACAGATTTTAAGTTTTCTCTTCGATTTCTCCACTAAAAGTTTTCTCTTCGATTTCTCCAGATTTTAAGCACTTTAGTTTTCTCTTGAATTTTTCCAGATTTTAAGCACTTGGGTATTCTCCATTATAAGTTTTCTCTTCGATTTCACAGATTTTAATGGCGAATTGGTCGATTTGTTCATGCTTTTTTATCTCGACTTTTTAGTTGTTTCCCTAGAAAATGAATTGGAAAAGTTGTGAAAAATGGGAGGATGTGTTTCAATTGGATCTTGATTTTCTGTTTCAATTATGATTCTGCAGCATTCAAATTTGTTATAGTTTACTGAAATAAGTGTAAATTCGTGAAAAATGAGAGGTTGCGTTTGTTGTTGGTTTTGTTGGATCTGTTATATTGGGCAATTTGCGTGTGATTTGAAGAGGTAGGAGAGGATGAAGCCGAGGCAGACGGTGTTGATTGGGAGTACCAGGTGGTGATTAGGTTGGCTGTGAAGAGAAAGGAGCCTAGTGAGATTGTGGTGGCAGCGGAAACGATGGCGGACAGGAGAGAGACAACCAAGAAGGGGGATGGATGGTATCAGTTCATCGGTGGGTGGGCAGAGGAGAAAGTTGGCTGTGTTTAAGGAGGACGAGGAAGAAGGGGGACGGAGGAGGGAGTGAGGTGAGGATGAAGGGAAACGAATAGGACTTCTGGGGAGAAAGGAGGGAGAGTATTAAATAAAAAATAAAAAATTTATCATTAATTAAATAAATTTTTAGTCCAGTTGGTGAAGGAGTGAGCCCCATTTCTGTCATGTCATCATTTAACAATCAAATTAACAGAAAATTTAACGAATGTATGATATTGCAACGAAATCATAATTTGAGGTATGACATTACAATGTTTTAAATATGAGGTATAAGATTGTGGTTCGACTCATAATTGAGGTAGTTTTGTATAATTTATCTAATTTTTTATTCATAAATTTTGAGAAACTAACCAAAAAACCTCAAATACTTCCATTTAACCATCAAGACATAGAATTTTTATAAATCCTAAAATACACATAATACCATACTAAAGCATTCCCTACATTCCCTATACTACTGGAAATGGTCCAAGGAAATAAAGCAAAATGCAGAACATGCAGCAAGTTCGCGTGACCATTATCAAAACAAAAGCAAAAAGAAGACAACTAATTCAGTCCACATTTTAGAAACAGTGCTGATAATTTCAGCTGATTCGGAAACAGTGAAAGCAAAGTGACAAATCATAGAGAAAAAGTTGACAAACACCCAAGAAGACATTCACACCATTCATTTTGCAAAGATTTTTTTGTAAGGTAGTATTCTCATTCATGTATATAAGAAAGGTTTTCCTTCATTGTAACGATCCACGACTACTACATGTACAGACGAAGCCTTTAGAGCTCTTATCCTTCTTGCTCCCTTTGCTTACTTCCTTGTAAACACACTTATCTTTGTGAACATTTTTATATATTAATAAAAGTTCAAGTGTACATATTCAAAGAAGTATCCAGTCTTAAGTAAGTTTTCTTTCTTCCTTTAGTGTGTTTGTTTAATAGACTTCCAATTTAAAACAAGAAAACACTATTATAGTTATATTATTACAACAACAACAAAGCCTTCTCCCACTAAGTGGGGTCGGCTATATGAATCCTAGAACGCCATTGCGCTCGGTTTTGTGTCATGTCCTCCGTTAGATCCAAGTACTCAAGTCTTTTCTTAGGGTCTCTTCCAAAGTTTTCCTAGGTCTTCCTCTACCCATTCGGCCTTGAACCTCTGTCCCGTAGTCACATTTTCGAACCGGAGCGTCAGTAGGCCTTCTTTGCACATGTCCAAACCACCGGAACCGATTTTCTCTCATATTTCCTTCAATTTTGGCTACTCCTACTTTACCTCGGATATCTTCATTCCCAATCTTATCCTTTCTCGTGTGCCCATACATCACACGAAGCATCCTCATCTCCGCTACACCCATTTTGTGTACGTGTTGATGCTTCACCGCCCAACATTCTGTGCCATACAACATCGCTGGCCTTATTGCCGTCCTATAAAATAAAATTTTCCCTTGAGCTTCAGTGGCCTACGACGGTCATACAACACGCCGGATGCACTCTTACACTTCATCCATCCAGCTTGTATTCTATGGTTGAGATCTCCATCTAATTCTCCGTTCTCTTGCAGGATAGATCCTAGGTAGCGAAAACGGTCACTTTTTGTGATCTTCGCTAGATTGCTCCGGTCATTAGTGAGAATAAGTATATAAATGGATAGAGATAGGAAAGCAAACACAAGATGTACGTGGTTCACCCAGATTGGCTACGTCCACGGAATAGAGGAGTTCTCATTAATTGTGAAGGGTTTACACAAGTACATAGGTTCAAGCTCTCCTTTAGTGAGTACAAGTGAATGATTTAGTACAAATGACATTAGGAAATATTGTGGGAGAATGATCTCGTAACCACGAAACTTCTAAGTACCGGAGTGTGGTATCGTCTTGACTTTCCTTATCTGTCTCATAGGTAGATGTGGCATCTTCTCTGGAAGTACTCTTCCTCCATCTAGAGGTGGTATCTGTAACTGGTGGAGATGCACAAGGTAATGTATCAATGTCACTTGAAGCTTACTTGTAGTTTCAGGCTTGGTCAAGCGCGATACAAACCATGTAGTAGGAGTCCCCCAAGTCGCCGAGCTAGGGGATCTGCTGAAAGAGGTGACAGACAAGGTAAGCAATCAGAGCTCCGGCTGATTGTTCACATTCTCCCTATCTTGCAGGCAGCATGAAGGATAAAGAGAAGAAAAATGAGAAGAGATGATATGGGATACTTTTGCTTTTGAAGAAGTAACTTTCCACAGGCTTATTCTTGAACTGGGCTGGAGGGTTTTTTGGTTTCCTCCAGAGTATAAGGCCGACTGAAGAA